TGCCTTATCTACAACATGAGTAGCTGTAGTTATAGATTCTACCCATTAGCTTTGAAATGCAGCTAAATAAAACAATCCGGCTGTATAAGTATATGCATGCTCCGGGATTAATTCTCTTCATGAAAACATTACCTACGTTACTTAGAGACCCCCAATGTGGTTATATCATGTGATTATTATACTTTCTGAATAGATTCACTGTATTTTGAACACTTATTGAAAAGTATGCACCACTGTAAAGGTAAACTGCAATCTATATATACGAATTGTGTTAATGCCAACGATTGATTACTAAGCTCAAGTACAAAAGGATCGAATTATTTGTACTACAAGACTATAATTTGATTTAGTATAACATTGTAAGTGCAGCATGAAGCATTAACGGAAGGTATAATTTATGATTGTAGCGATTTTCGCTTAATTTTTTCGTATTATGCACACACAATACGTACAGTTATCTTCATGAGTTGCTATTCGTAAATCCATGTAGCAGTTATGCCGTCGATTCGTTACACACATACAACACTCTAAATCATTTGCATGCAGAATACGAAAAGTAAAATCTGTTTTAGTAAAAGATTAATTATCAATGCGATGGCAGAAATTTGCAACGTCTGGTTTGCCGTGATATCTGAGAAGATTCTCCATATACTCGTTAGTGCTATAATTATATACAATATTGACAATTACATGATATGTGTTGTTGTGTGTTTATGAATTAAACTACCAGTGCATAGACTATCTATTAGTAACCTCCATACTTGTCTCTTTTTGTTGCTTGTAAATTTATAGTAAAATAAGTAATAAAGATTATTAAAGAAGCACGAACTTAATTGACTGATAATATCATGATACAGCACCATATTATTATAGTCACTATTTAGCATCTAGTATATGATAATTAATTAATTATTCACATAATGATGTGTCTAGAGTGATATCCCATATTGTCATGGTAATTTATCCGATTTCTAGCAACATCTGTAGCGCTTGTATCGGTTACTAATTAAATATAGACGGAATAAGGTTAATATTATTCTTGGCCAAATTATGTACATAGTTATCGAGATAATGATAAAAATTCCACCTATTCTTCTCGTTGTTATTTATTCCGATAAATAACACGAATACAAAAAAGTAATTGTTTCCGCATTCCTCTAAACGTAGCACAGAAAGCATTTTTTGCACCTTTTTATAAATAAATCTTTCTAAAAGAGTCAATAGTTTACGCCATATTTTAATATTAATTAATACAGCTTTAACAATTCTCATTAATTCACGTTTTCTCTTGCCTTGCTATATCTTCTACAATAATAACTTATTATCATATCGTTTGAAATGCTTTCTGTAATATTAAAAGTAGAATGAAATAGATCATGGTTATAGTCCCTGATTATTATTTAGAAAGCAGAATAATAATCACTGTAGTATGTAGCGATATCTAGGAAGTAGAACAAGGTATCTTACTATATTGGCAGCCCTATTCAGATTAAGAACCTAGAATTTAGTGGTAAAGACATGATACTTGTCACCAACTGCTAATGTACGGCGAAATCATGCCCATAATAACATTTACATTAATGCCTTTTACGTTAGTGAGTGCAAAACAAGTTTGTCTGATTTCCAATTTTCTGTAATTGTTCATTGTGCAAATCAGATTGGCTAGCTAAATAACCTTGGCCTGTCCTCGATCTATTCCGTTGTTGCAATAGGTATAGCAGTCTTTTCAAAACTTACTAAGTTAGTACTGTAAGCGTTAAGTAATTTTTATCTTATCTAGTTAGATTTTTTGGATCTGTTGTGGTCGATTTGCTTAAAGCTTACTACTCCGAATATTTTTCCAACCTTTTCATCAGCAATAATATTATTTGCAATATTCGGTATTTTTCGAAATCAGTAACCGTCATAAGACAACGACTACCGCAAAGAGAAGTCCTTGTAGTAATTCCTGGTTAAGATAGGACGACCCTAATTTTAATAGCCAAAGTACGAGTAGATTACGGCTGACATCTAGGCTGCATGTATTTAATGCTAGGTAAATTTTCGATCAATTATCGGGTGCCTTTACTCAACCTATTTCTTTATTCTGCAGTTACTGCAAATAAAGACTATTTGATTGCCTCATTCTTCAGTAGCCACTATCCACGCAAACTTTCTAAGCTTTATTATAAGCTAACTTCAGCAATAATAATTAAAGTGAATCAGACAATTTTTAATTAGCACCATATGATATACTAGAATAAAGAAGTACAATAAATAAACTATATTAAACAACCTCATTCCTCTGTTATTGTCATGTCTAGTTCATATTTAAATCATTAGCTAGGTTTATAAATAGTTCATTATAAATTTCAGATCTATTTCATCTTGAGACAGATCATGTCAAGAGTAGATAATGATATGATTTAACTATTGGCTTTCGAAGTCTTGATGTAGCAATTAATGACAGAAGTTACTGAATGGCATCAAAAAATATGCTAAACGATCTCTTTCTGCTACCAATGTTATAGGTATTTCCGGTTGAATTCATTAGCTACCTTTACAAACTGCAGATTACTGCTTCCGCCTTACTTTTAATAGATAACGATATCCTTCGTTGTACTATAATCAACAACCCTCTTAACTGACACAATATACAGAATATCCGTAATATTGGTCCTTTCTTAGAATGGTATTCTTTCACATAAAGGACAAATAGCAGTGATTTACCAGCACCAATTTAGCCTTAATTGACTCTACTTTTAAGCCTAAAATGTGGTATTCCAGTAAATTATTGAATTTTTTAGTCATGTTGTGTACCATACTTGTAAATTCTACTATTTAATTCTCTATACGGTATACCTATTGCTAGGAAAAAGTTATTTAACTTCTTAAGAATGTAGTATCGATTCGTAATTTACTGATGTTAAAGATAGAAGTTTGTACTGGTTTCTGTATAACGCTGCGCTTTGAGTAATGCAAATGGGTGCCTGGAAGCATTTGCATACGTGCATGAATATTTTACTATCATACTGTTCTGCTAATCATTGAAACTTTCATGGAATAGAAATCACGATTAAAATGTCTCACTAATTACACCCATAGTGTTATAAATTCTATTATTTCAACTTTAAAAGAACTAATAGAACATAGCGGCAAACAGCAATCTATCAATAAATCTATCTCACTATCGTTTGTTCTCGAAATCCTGATGTAGTAGTGATACTGGCATAATTATCCTCTAATTTTTAGTTAGAAAAGATATTACACACTAGAAAACCTCACAGTTCTATTGATGACATTATTTCGTTGAATTTTAAAGAATTGTACTACTTTTATAAGTACAGAAACATAGCCTTAATATCGAAGGAAGATCAAGAATTTTTAGACCGTTCTAAGAACAGAACATTATTTCCTACACGTGCTGTTCAAATCAGAATCCTAAGAGTATTTTTCAGATTTCTATATTTCACTAAAATCTTATTGTTGAATCTACCTTACTGGATTACAGCTATCGCTTGTTAATTTAATTTTTCTTGCACAATCGAAATACAGAAAATGCAATAATCCTATTAATTTAGAATGCAATCTGGCAGAATGATTATTTAAATTTCATTTATTGATCTAAGCATACTCTAATTAGCGCCGTTAAAAAGTAGATATACGTGAGTATTAATTTACTCATATTGTTAATTAATACTCACGTATATCTACTTTGCGTCCACACTGTACAAGAATTTAACTAAAAACGTTAAGAGAATTACTGCATTATGATTGTTGTTATGTCACTGGTAATAGTAATCTATCGAGTAATATCACTTAAGTTTACAGCTAAAAAAATGTGATTAATCATTGTAAACTGTATTTTAAAAATCAATCGCTTACGTGAGAAAATATTAGTCTGCTAAAGACTGATCAAATATTTCGTTTAAAGAGAAAGATAGAGGAATGAATATATTTACACATTGTAATAATGATTGCCAAGAAATAAATATTACAGGCGATACAGTATTAATAATAATGGCTAGAATTATTATCGACGAAGATTACACTTGGTGTTACTACAAATAAAATTGAAATAATTTTTTCATTAACACACGATATTATAATTTTTCGAAATAATATAGTGATACAGTTAAGTCGATACAGAAGTCAGAATCGGAGAAGGAGTCATCTTGTACACACATACAATAGAATAGTAAAGATCTTGTTCAATCCGAAATCGAATTTGCTCACAATATATTATATGAGCTATTACTTCTAAGCATGATCGTTATATGAATTAATATTCAATGCTACCTCATGCTTATAGTCATATATAACATTCGTAGTCATTTTAAAGATGAGTTGATGAACTCTAATTTTTACCGACAATTTCCCAACTGTCGTCGAAGAAAAGATTAAGAATAGCTTTTAATGATTACAATTGTCAGACTATTTGGCAACATAGTCTAATGATCAGATAGTATACTATCGAGTAACATGCTGTAACAAAGGAAGCATATAAAAACGGAATTGGTATCAATTAAACTTCAAGTCAACAATAATTGCTTTATCGTATCATGACAGCATTTTTTCTCGCCGTCTACAATAAATCAATTACTAACGCCATTATCAGGCATATATCACGATATTGATTAAATCGATTGAATGGTTGATCAAGTATGAAATTTAATGACATACAGTAAGAATAGCTAACAATGTATATGGGCTAACATCGCTAAGCGCTGCTGGTTAATATTGAGATGGCGTAGTAATTTGACAACCGCTATTCAAAAAATATATTTTACTAAGTTATAGTTGAAGGCACTACTTTCAAATAATAAGTTAACTTTAGTCAGTATTAGTATGTTTTGTGATCATTAACTTCATCTTAACACCTCAATAATGGTATAACGTTTTTAAGCTCGACTAAAAATTAATTGATGAATAACATCTGGCTAACTTAAAGTTACTAGAATCATATTAAATTAGCTACCAATTCGGTTAAAAGTTACTCACAGTTAATATTTGAACGTCGATCACGATCGTTTAGCAAATTTAGACTTATGCTTAGGAATTTTAGGATCATAGACTGCATTTTCCATATCTATATTCGGCTCATAGCCGATCTTTTTTTTGATTTTATAATTTGTATTGGTCATTTTTCGATCTTGATTTGGTATGATAGGCTTTATATCATGTTCACCAGTAGTACCTAATGAAAAACGTCTAAATTTATGGGTATGATTTGATTTTCCAATCGATTTACCTTGATGAGTTGAGGATAAATCTCGATAACTATCAACAATTTGTGATATAGTTTTGTGTGCGTCAGAGGAACGACGATGATTAATAGTTTGACCAGTTGTTGGATGAGTAAAAGTATGCTGATGCGGTGATGATAGCCTATCAGTCGTTTGTAACTGCTTGATTGAAGGCGGTGTTTTTGGTGAAGATGGAGCCGACATACTTCCTGTATCAAATATACTAGGTAGTGAGTTATGATGACCGCGTCTTCTTCTACACCCTTGCTTTAGTAAAGCGTCGTCGATGAGAACAGAATTAGTTGTTGGTATATTATGTAATGACCTTGATGTAGGCAATCTATTCTTATGTTCTGGAAAGTCATCGTCGAAAGAAAATAGTGACGTCTCGCTAGATTTAAGATTGCGCCTTCGTTTGGGTGTTGTTGGTGCACTTTTGCTCTCAAATCCATCTAAAGATATATCAGAATTACCACTTATACTGACTTTATCTAGTGATGCTTGAAGGGATGAAATTGATTTCGACATGTTGCGAATGGCTTTATCTTCCGATTTAGCTATACGATCTAGAACGGATGTTAATCGTTCTTTCTCTCGTTTATTGGCATTACATGATCGTCCAATAGTTTTACCTGGTGGATGAAGACTAAATAAAGTTGCAGGTGAACTAGGTAACATGGCTAATTGAAGTTAAAAGGAGCAAGAATAATAGTATAATTACAATGAAGAGCTGAAATTGGCAACCAATTTCTTTTTGATCTATATCAGGTTATATCGCGAAAAGTGATGAATAGAATTAACTTTTTTGAAAGAAAAGATTATCATAAAGATTCTATTTCTACCTTAGATCAAAATTTAAAAGGAAAAGAAAATATCTAATGATCAAACTTCGTAATGAATATCGTGATAATTTTTATAGTGTATATTAATCAACATTAGAAACGCTCTAGTCCATTATTAAATATGAATCCATAGCCATTATATCGTATCAATTGAATTGCAATAAAATTGTATCATTTCCTTTCCAGTCCGATTTTCTCAATGTCGCCAACCTTTTCTCTGTGTCTGTTGCAATCAGTATTCATCGCAGGGTAGCGACAAGAAAATAGTATGTCATTCTGTCACTGCTAATAAGCTAGTTAAACTCAGTTGTAAGCAATTTTAACGATACAGTCTTAATAAGGAACAACAAAGTACATCGCTAAATGACTGTAGCGAAAATAACTAGACTAAAGCTATTTCAATAATACTACAATAGGCTTTTTATTAATCATTTTCTTGTTATTTAAATTGCTACTCCTAAAAGAATTGATACTGGGCAATTATCATAAACAATTGTGATGCAATTATGTTCCAATCTATTATGTTCTCATCTGGTCTGTAGTACAGTATACGTATACTGGCAGTGCGTTACGTATGATATGGTAAAGGAAGCGAAATGAGAGATTATCCATATACGAATAGGTTACAAATATATTATACATTCATATTATACTATGGCGATCGTACTCTAACTTTTCTAAGTTATAATTAAAATTACTTCTGAATAGTTATATTCACTGCTCTGGCCATTCTTTTTACTTCGTTTTATAATACACGAGACTAGCAACATTAATTAATTCTTACTTCATACTCCAAATATATTGTGTTGTGTCTATCAATTGTTTGACTATGTCGTCTATAAATAAATACGAGTATGCATAAATATAAACGAATAATATCAATGATATGAATCTCAAGTCTCCAGACAAAAGTGATACTTTTATTCATAAACGGCACGGACTGAGCTCTAAAAAGTTGAGCATTTCTGTCCAATAAATAATAGAGATCCAAATTAATAATTGTCTTAGCTGCAAATTATCACAGTACCTACACAGTGATAAAATAGTGAAATCAATAAATCTGGCGATGGGAATACTTCATGATGTTTGATAAATTCTTAACAAATCATAATTGGTTTTACCAACTCTTACCACATTGATGTAGCATAAAATAAAATCTATAATACAATATAGTGTAGTTGTTGAAATGGCTTAAGTGATCATATAACACTCTAGTTTGAGGTAGCACGTGTAGTATATTCTGAAGTACTTGAACACATTTTGATGTAGGGCAGTAAAATAGAGTATATATAGTGCAATTTACATTAATATAAAAATTTACAGCATCTGTTTTGAAGTAAAGCTCTTATATTTAAAGATGCAGGAATTTACAATACTTTCATAAATTTTAATTCATAATTAAAAGTATTTTTAAACGTGTTGTGATTTTGTAATGTAATATCTTATTTCATACAAAAGATTCATAACTTTAAAGGAAAGATGCAACAATTGTGCTCAATAAAATAAAGGCAATTTAAATTACGGAATGGTAAACTGTCCTTTTTCCTTCTTTCTTAG